GAGCGTTTGTTTGGTACAACAATTTACATAGAAATGACCAAATTACTGAGCACCGGCGCAGCCGGCGGTGCTATATTTCAAAACGACTACAGTGACCATGCGCAGGTCTGCGACAGGCATTGCTTAGAGTCAACACTAACATTGAGGGGGCCAAAGGTCAGCTAGCAGGAAGGAATGTGCTGTTTCAGCAGCTTGTAGGCATTTTGTCATCAAGTATCCGGCGTCCTCGCGCCCTTCTGCGCATCGATTCACTCTGCACTTCGGGCAGGGGAAAGGACAAAGCCCGCATGACACGGTCAAAGCACGCTGGGCAAAAAAGAAAACTATAGTGATGAAAATATATAATCAGCTATTTTCATGATGTTGAGTCAGAGTGAGATTGAATAAAAATAAATGCGTTGGGTTTGCTGAGTGCTTTTGTCACACAGCTTCACAGAAGTATCCGCTCCCCCTCCTCCCCCGCAATGTCACGCAAGGTCATTTGGACCAATGAACTCTTTGTTCAGCACCGGGGCTGATTTATATCCTCCCATCGCCACCATTGCACCATTTGCATAGAACTATCGTAATTACGGCCACAGTCTTAACTGGTTGCTAGTGGCCATGAGAACAAATGGTCAACAATATCTTCATGTTTATGCATTTTTTTGCCAGCGTAAGACAGAAAAAAACCAGCATACTAATTCACATTTGCATAGAGATGAATCCAGATGCAAACGAGCAAAACAGCGTGTACTTGAAGCAGGTCCCCGGGCTGCACGGAGGCATCGACAGGCATCACCGGGAGGAATATCAAAGCCCATCAAGCGTGTCAATCAAAACCCTGTGTGACGTTTCAGGAGAAGTGAGGTGGAGAAAGCAAGGGAAAACATTTGAACACAGCACAGTCTTTACAAGGGAGCTAATGTTACGCTTGGATAAACCTCAATTTGATAAACAAACCCAAATTTTAAGACATGCTATGGATGGAAAGGGCTCACACTGAATCTACGGCTTTTACTTACCTTTTGTTTTACCACATTCTGGCAACGTGTTTCACCCAGCTTGCACAAAGAAATGCTGCATTATTAATAGATGTGAAAGTTACCTTTTCATTTTGTGATATAAAATGTAATTGTTTAACATCATGACAGTGCAGGCTATGTTCTGACATTTTGGAAACGGAGCTTGAGGGACAAGGCATAACAAATTGGATGGAATTAAGTGCTGAAATGAATCAGGATTTATTTTTTGTGCATGGCATGGCTGGCATGAAGCAAATCCTATTAAGGAAAAATAGAAGGAACCCAAAATTGAGGTTAAACAGTACTTGTTTAAAGGATTAATTCAGAGCTCTATGCCTATATTTGTATGCATACTGAGGGCTATATTATTGCTATCCAAGTCTAATGATAACATGGAACACTAATAAGGAATTTAATACAACAATGTCACGTCTGCTTTATCTGAAATATTTCTGTCAATGTTAACAACGTAGGAGGTCCGAGTCTCTGGCAATCATGACAGAGGGAGAAAAAAACCCGACAGCACTGTGGAAGCAACGCAGCTTTTGGATGGAAACGTTGGATGTAATCTTTTCCAGAAAGTGCAGGGACGGCGGCCCTGAGAGAACGGACAGCAGCTGGACGGATGAGTCCGCTCCCTTGTGTATGAGTTACTGCTATGGAGGCCCGCAAAAAACAATTTCCCATCCAAGGACACAAGTTAATTGGCTGAAGACATTGGCCATCAGAGTTTAGGGAAATCTCTTGTTCGTGAAAGGAGAAATCTGTCATAGAGTTTCACATGGTCACACACATTACTCATTGCCCTTATGCATAACCCATTGCTTCGACTTCTCTTTTTTAACTTTTTCTCTGCTGCTCTGCTCCTATTCGTATAGACTGTGAGTTATCAAACGCTTGAGTGCTGTCACAGCTGACTTAAAAAGTAAATCCATGTGGCAGAGACTGACAGAACTGGGTGTCCCTGCCGATCCTTCCAGGTGCACAGCCTTGTTAAACTGGCAGCATGTGATGCAATGAGACTACATGCGGTAATTCCAAAACTAACCCCTGTGGACAGTCTCGAAACGAGAAAACTAGCCCTCTCAAACATTGGCATCGTGGGCTGGACTCAAAATGAATTTGGCACACGCACACATGCCGAGATGAAAACAGACGAGGTCACTACACTTCGACCCGTTTTCTTTTTTTCTCTTCTTATTAGCTGAGGAATGCTCAGCTCTTTTTTTCCCCCCGCCTGGCTCTGTTCCTCATTACCTTCCAAACTGTCTTGAGAAAGAACGCCCGGAGGTTCCTGGCCTTTGGCTTGAACAAAGCCAGACTTTGTGCCAGCTCTTCCAGGCACACCACAAGCCGGGCTGTGTCCAAAGCCGAAGCCCCTCAAGTCGTTGCCCCGGTCCCCCAGTTTACCCGTCACAGCCCATGTCCACTCAGCTGTGACTAACGGACTCTCCCCCTAGTATGTGCCGTGTTTCATAATGAAATCATTCAGGCATGGGCAGGAAGTTCCCCTTTGCGCTGCATAGCCATGAAAGAATGAAAGTAATGGCCGTACATTGACACATGGCCCACCGGAACAGAGGCAGTATAAGTCAGCGAGTCACCTGGTATCTAGCAAAACACCCATTTTTACTCTTTTGTACTTCATATTTCATATCATGCGTTTATTAAGCGACTGTCACTTGATGATAATTACTTTCATAAATTCTGGTTAGTTCATTATTTCAGCGCCAGCTGTGCAAACCAGCACATTTCTCGTCTCCAAGTGAATTTGACAAAAAGAACCCCATCAGCACCTCTAAACCTCCCTAATCAGAAAATTACAACCCATTTATACACAGGCCTACGAAACAAGTGTAAATATATCAAGGGGATTTACGGTGGGATCTTGTCTCTTTTTCTGCAGGAAAGAAACTTTAAATCGCTTTCCCCCAGATTGTGCCTTTTAAATTTGTTGCATCAATATGAACCTACTGATTATCCTGACTTTAGTGCAATAAAAAAAAAAAAAGAAGATAGGCTCTCAGCCAACTTTAATAACGGCTTATGTACTCAGCTGGGACTCCTTCCTCCCGCCTGCCTGAGAAGTGTCTGTGTGCGTTTGTGTGTCCATGGAGATGATCCTCCCTCCATTCCTCCGGAATGTGTGCAATGTGCTCAAAGACAAAAGATGAACTGGAGTACCTGGGGTATGTGTTTGGGCCTGTTAGGGGCCCCCCGGGCCGGCGTAACTGTCTGAGCCTGTGATTTAGCGTACTGACGCAAAAAACAAGCCCATCTGGAGGGAACCACACAACGCTGGCATGTATACAGGCACGGCTAAGTGCTACATAGGAACACTAAATAGTAACCTTATGTGTGGGTGCCTCAAGCTGGAACACGCTGCACTCATTTGAACCATGTCACGTTATGTCAAGCGCCGAACGTTCCAACTTATGTGCATGACAGTTTTGTTGCCTTTGGGTAGAAGAATAAGGAGGTGGGGGCGTTGTTTGGTGATCTGAAATAAGCCAGACGGAGAACGCGAGCGAGGAACATATGTGAACAGTTAAAACGGGCATTCAACAACCTCTTTGATATCCACCATTAGGGTGATTACAGCTGGCATGGTCCCTGGATGAAAAATTAGCTTTCTCTCCTCCTTCCTAAAAAAAAAAAAAAAAAAAACCTCATTAGGAAAATGGGACTTTCATCTTCCATTTAACTAACAAATGCAGAGTTGAAAGTGATGTTAACAGGGAAGACGCATGTGGCAGGAAGAGCGAGATGCGGCTGACCGTGCAAGGCAGCGGAAAGGAGGATGGGTGGTGAGTCTGGTTTAGACCCGCAGACCGAGGAGTCGAGCATTGTGTCTAATCCCTGGTGTCTGCAGCCTGTCGTAAATCTCTCTTTGCAGAGTTTAGCATAAACAGACGTGCTCAGGGCCCAGCTGCAACCCCTGTCCCCCTCTGAACGACAGACGCTAACACACTGACCCTACTACACCCAGCACATTACCATGACCCGCTTCCCCCCGAGTCCCCCGTTAGAGCTGCATGCCTGCAAAAGGCCTCCGGTTACACCTGCCCGAGCCTCTGCTGCTCCTCTGCCACTTATACGGCAAGACCCAGCAAGGAGAAACATAATTCACTGATGGGAAAACGCATGCCATGAAATGAGGTGCAGAGTGCACATCGAAGAATTTGAACAAAATGCAAAAAGTGCTAGCAGGGAGGGTGTGCCCCTGGAGTTGGCCATATTCAAACAAAAGTTGTAAAAGAAACCAGATGAGGTACAAGTGAGAGCCTGGAAAGGATTAAGCCTTTGGAAGTTTGATCATTGACTTTCCCTCTGATGTGCTCGTAAGTCTAGAACCAGAAATCAAGTCCACACAGCTGCGCCTGTAGTGGAACTAATAAGGAGAGGATGCCTTCCAATGGGGGTCAAATTAAAGAAAGATGTGGTTGTGCTAAGTGAAAGCATAAGGCAACAATAATGCAGCTGATCTCCGGGCCCGGTGTTCCCTTTCTTCCCAATACCTCTCACAGTAAGATCAAGCTTTGAGAAACTGTAAACAAGGCTCTCTGAGAGCTCATTAATTGCGGGCTTGGTCTCTGAGCTGCACATGTATCCGCAGAGGGAATTTTCTTGACTTTTGGCTGAACACATTGAACCAATAAACCCAAACCCGGCCTTGGGCGCGGGTTGACCATTTATTCATGACTAGACTGACTAATATACTGCAAAATAATCTCGTTGTTGTGAAAAGAACTGCATTTCGATATGGTTGAAAGCCTCTCAGAGGACGTCAAAATGGATGTCAGTCGTCTCCTTCACTTTATCATTCTGGGTGAGATTATATTGAGGATTAGGGATTTCTTTTGTAGCGTGCGAGTGGCTGACAGAATGGCTCCTGGGAAACAGTGTGCTAGTACAAGATATTTCCACAGCACAATGAGAGCTCTGTAAAGCGGCTTACATAGGCAGGAGGTATACTGTACAGAGGAGGACTAGATACATATTTGATGTGCTCCAATGAGTCAGTTTAGTACAAACTGCATTACAAAACACAGAGTTTGACAGCAGTTCAATTAAATTACAGTGTATTTATCCAAAAAAAGGACAAGATAATCTGGAATGTTACACGGCACGTTAAATTAGTGGAGCATCATATGTTGGCATAATAATATTTACATTACAACATGTACAAGTGTTACATGTGACTTTAAGGCTGAATATGCAATTCAAACACAATTAAAGGAGTGCAGGTGCTGCTATGACAATGTGCAAACAATGTTCTTTATATAAAGCGAGCCAGGTTTCAACAGAATTACAGGATTCAAGAGTCAACTCACGTTAAGGCTTATAGGAGTGTATCATTAGGATTGCAGAACACAACGCAATAAGTACACATGTAATGGCCGCGTTACGATACCCGACCACTCTTTATGGTTACGCACTGGTGGGGAGAATAGGACGGGAGACAGTAAGTCCTCTCTGTGAGGCATTACAGTGGAGATCTTACAAACACGTGTGTCAAATGTACTTACTTCTAAAGTAAGCATCGCATTCTATTTACAAGAGGTAGTTCAGCTGGGTGTTCAAGACCGTTTAGCGTAACGCGCATCCGTCCGGCACAGGTGTGCCACGCGCGCGTCATGCGCAGCTCTTTAAAACCCAACAAATCCATCACCTGCGCCATGCTGAATGTTCACAGCTGGCCGTATTTTTCTTTGCAATGCAAAATGTGTTCGTATAATCGGTCTATCCTGTCCTGCAGAACCCCGGCGTGCTCGTCCGAGAGAAATCCCAATTCCAGAGACAAAGGCTCGCTGTCTCTGTAGAGGTCCCGCAGCCTCGTCCCGGTGTCTCTGCGCCTGTGCAGCTCAGACACGCGCTGCGTGGTCCTTTTTCTGAACACGCACACGGAGCTCAGCACCGTGTTGTGGTATTTCTCCCACATGTTCAACACCCGAAAGCCGTGCACGAGCCCGGCCTCGTTGTCAATGAACACGAGGTCCCCGCGCGGCGTCCGCAGGAGGTTGTTGGTGTCCCTCTCCATTACGCGCGAATCCCACTGCAGGCTGAACAGATTGCTCACGAGCCGGTCGAAGTTCGCGGTCAGGTAGTCGAAGGCGATCAGGTCGCTCCACTGCATCAGCTCCAGCAGCTGCGCCACCGTCTTGTTCCGGAGCTCCCCGAGCGCGGGATGCAGCCCGCCGCTCTCCTGCCTGAGCGGCGCCGGCGTGACCACCCCGGTCAGGTTGGAGACCCACTCGGTAAAAGACACCACGGCGCGATCGCCCCACTGCAATTCGCCGATGCGCGTCCTCACGGCCGCCCACTGGTCGCTGTCACCGCTCAGCTGGGAGAGCGCCAGGGGGGGCAGGTTGGCGATGCCCAGCAAACTGGCCAGGTAATACGTCAAAGTTTCGCCCTGCACCTGATCCGCGTTAATCCCGTAGCGCACGCACGCTTTTGTGCCGTCCGCGAAAGTGGCGAGCTGGTTCGACACCCGGCCGCATCCCGGCTCCAGCTTCACGATTCGATGCGTCCTGGCTCTCTCCCTCCAAGCCCGAGCATGTTCCTCCGTGAAGCCCGCGGGGAGGAGATCCTCCAGCCAGTCGCTCCAAAAGATCCCATCCTCCACCGGGGAGCCCAACTCGACCGCGCCCTCCCGCGGCGCTGACCTCCTGTCGTCCCCATTCACATGGTAACCCCTCGCGGTTTGATGAGTGAGGTTGGGGGCTTCGAGTCCGCCCCACGAGTGCGGTCTCTGTGCCGCCGGGACCGCGAGGAGTGCTCGGAAAGTTTTGGCGGAGAGGTCCTCCGGCTGAGCCCGGCGAGAAGAGCCTGCGCCCGCCGGCACCGGGAGCCCGCGCTTGTGTCGCTCCAAACGGTTCTCCAGCACGCTCCAAACGTAGAAAACACTCGCGAGGGCGCACAGGAAAAGGAGGGCGAACAAGTTGGCTGAAAAAGCCCTCATGGCGAAGACCAGTCGCCCCCCCCCCCGGGGGAGAGTTCCGCGCAGGTTGAAATAAAGACAGCGAGCAGGGATCGTCTTCGGTCCACGGTTGAGCGAGAGCGGAGCAGCCGGCAGCCGCGCGCCCCTCGTCCCGCACAAATACACACACACACACACCCCGAGCCCTCGAGATCACCGGAAGAAGAGTGTCTCCAAGACAGCGCAACTCTCATCTGCCGTCCTGCTCAGATGCCTCGTCACATCCCTCTTCATTGCGGAGATGAAGCAGTGCGGATCGCCTCCAGCGAGCGGCCTGGTAGGTGCGTTCTGTCCGCGCGCACCTCTCCGTCCCTCATCCTGCTGTCTCCCTCTCCCCCCCCTCTCTCTCTCTCCACCGGGCGCTGGGTGAGTTTGATTGGCGGTGGGGAGAGTAAGAGAGAGAGAGAGAGAGAGACACTGGGCGACGAGACACGTGACTCCAGTCCCGAGGTGGTGGGCGGATCGTGGGAAGGGGAGTTCAGAGAGGAGCGGTGCGTTGTGTGTGTGTGTGTGTGTGTGTGTGTGTGTGTGTGTGTGTGTGTGTGTGTGTGTGTGTGTGTGAGAGAGGACTGTGAGGCATTGGCAAAGGCATCCACTATAATAATTGATACCTTGGGCAGAAATGCTAATGCCACTGCAATTCCAATGCGACCAAACATTAAATGTGAAATATTTCGTCTATAGCTTCAACACCCTCAAATGTGATTGTCAGCACTTTGATTTCCCTGTCATGTCCGGCTGAGTACAGAGGCTAAACAATGTGTGCCTGTACTGAGACAGGCCTGTATTCAGAGAGACGTTGCAGCAATTTGGCTATTCCAAAAAATAGAGTTTTAAACCTTGAAATTTTAAATATCTCAAGAAATTACACATTTTTTTTCCATTTCCTACCTAGTACCTATGTATTATCTCTAATTACATTCTAAATAAGCTGATACATGAAAGAAGCACAACGCTTATACGAGCCGCTTACGAGCTTTCTATGCAGGTGCAAATAGAGTTTGCCCACTGATGATGTACTTAACATGAATAACTTATTTTTATTGTTCACGATTCTGTTTTGAATTCATGACAGCATATATATCTGCTACTCGACCTTATCTTCACCAATGAAGTCGTATCCTTCTTGTTTCACGCTTGTCTAAAGCGTGTTCAACCAAATAAACACAAACTCCTCAGTGTGCATCTCCCTCATTAACCTTTTGTCATTATAAACCCCCGCCGCCACAACTCTTTACCATTCGACTCATGTTTTCAATATCTTGAACGTTAATTTGCTTAATTTTTATAGCAACATGCTAAATTGCCTGAGACATAAAGACAAAAGACCTGAATACTCAATTACACCCAGTAAATTAGAGGTCTGTTAACGTACGCTTCAAACGCCTGGATCTTCATGGAGATCTGTTATCTTCATTCTGACGTTCACAGCCTGAACTGAACCTTTTAATATAGTAACATTAAGGAATAGATGGGGAAACAAGTTCTGGGAGACAAGCAGGCAAAATGATTCTGGTCATATTTCTCATGTAGCCTCAATTGTGCTTTGCAAAGGGCATTGCTTTTTTTTTTTTTGGTCACAGCTGAATCATTTGCTCTAATTCCTAGCCTGTGTTTCTTTCATGCGAGATTGACGGCAGTAGCTGTGCGGAAGGAAAGCAAAAATCCCCGCAAGCAGAGACATATTCGAAAGTCTTTGAATCCCAAGTAATGGTTTGTGTCGTGGCCCGTGTCCGAGCATGTTTCTTCCATGCTAGACAAAAGACTGGGTCCTTGAGCAGGTGGGTGTTTTTTTTTCTTCATCTGCTTTTGAGAGCTGTTAAAAAACAAATTGGCCGTTGCAAATTGCACCCCGTGACTCAGATATGCAGATAGTTAATGATACTGAACAGGCTCACTGAATAGGGTGTATCGATGGATATACTGTAGCAAGGATACTTTCATGAGCTTTTTAAGATTGATGATGATCAAGATCAATGCATGCTGTACATCACTGTGGCAGGTTGTCTCACTATTTGCCTCTGTAGCCCTGATATATATATATATATATATATGCACACACAAGAATGTGCTTGCTGTATGTCTGGCTGCTTCTGTCACTTTCACTTATAAGCCGAGTAACTTCCGAGGTCTAGACACAGGAAATGAACACGGCTTAAGTGCATTGCTGGAATTCTGTCCGATGGTGTGTTGCTTTTTAGGAGTGTGGAGTGACTGTATTTACTGGCTCCTGGTGTCCCCCCACCCCCCCTCCCCGTTCCCCCACCCTAACCCTGAGCGCAAGTGGGGGCACGTTCACATATCAAACCTATCCGTTTCCTGCCATGTGTTATCTGCAGGTCAGCAAACCCAGCACCCCACAACCCCCACTTCCCCCCTTTCCTCACCACATTCCTTCCCTCGTAAATCCCCAGTAGTCCCATGGGGGGGGGGGGGGGGGGGGGTGTAACCTAGGGACAACCTCTCTCTGCCCGTGGTCAAGCGCTGCATGCGGTGACACGAGAGAGCCCGGGCCGTCTGTCACTCTGTCCACAGCGTCCCACTGGACCCGTCACCGGGCGCCCGACGACGCCCGCAGCTGTGATACCATCTCGGGTTCACTGCGTGGTGCCTGCTCAAGCCCCTGCAGATGAACAGGGAGACATAAAGAGATGAGGGAGGGTGGGGGGGAGTAGAGGAGGAGAAAGTGCATGAGGCTTCTGTCTCTTCCCCCCTGGTGGGGTTAGTTCACGCTGAGCAATAACTCGTAGGTCCCTCGACACTTTGCAGCACTCTCTGTTTCCTGGACTGAATAATGAACGCGGTTTCCATTAGCGTTGAAAGCTATGTTTTTTTACTTCCACCGACTGACGGTTACTTATGCAGGGGAAGGGCCGGTACAGTATCTTTAGTGTGGAGCCGATGGTAAGGAGGAGGTCGAGTCATTGGGTGTAGTGTTCTGCACACTGAGAGTCATCTGTTCGGGGAGCCTAGCTTGTGCTTTTCTCTACTTTGAACGCTACAACTTGGCCCTCCGGTAAACTTGCAGTTGAGGATGTAACATCACAGTAAATACTCCAGAGACAGATGAGACATTTCTTTTAACTACTGGTGACAGAAACGCAATCTCGTCAGCACTAATCTCAGCACTCATCTCGTGTAACGCTTAAGGAATATATAAACATATGTTAGTCAGCACGCTTTACTTCACCGCCTTCTTTTAGCGTGGCAGACGTTGCCCCGTGCTGAATGTGAGCGGCCATGAGTGTAATTCTCCACCACGGTGTTTCCAGGACGATGCGGTCCCCCTCATGGCGGACAATGGACACGGTGCAAGAGCCCTGAGATCCACTGAGCCCTGAGCAAGCCCGAAGGACCCCGGTTTCAATAGCTGTCTTTGACAATAACCTGATATAGAGGCTCGATTGCTTTTGTTTTTTCCAGCAATGACTTGGTTGGTTTTTCCATTTACTAATGAAAGAGATACTGTCAATGGATGCTGCATTACTCCCCCTTAGCTACAACAGAAAAGCAGGACTAAGCTTATTGAAGCACTGTGCTCCCCATCTCCATCTATCTACCATGGAGCAGAAGTTGAGGAGGTGGGAGGGGGGGTAGGCGATTGATATTCAGTGCTACTCCAGAGAGGCCCTCTTACAAGACAAAAACAGGGAGGGGAGGAAGGAGATGTACTGTTGAGTCAGTCGATTAAAGAATCAGTGTCCAATCTCCTGAATTGCAACCCCTGACCTGCCACACCAAATCCCCCATTTAATAAGTCAGGAATGAGATTTTGCTTTCCTTACTGCTAACTGGCTTATTGACTGAAGCGTGCGCAGTGCCTTGTGCCCAGGATCCCCTTTAAATGAACTAAAGGGAGAGCTTAAGAGCATCTGGTCATCATTATAAGGAAAGTGATGCCTTCAAGGTCCTTTTTTGTTATTTTCATTTTCTTGGTTTCTGCCCCAGCTCTTGTGGGGGTCGCAGGGTCAGTTGAGATTAAAGATGATGAAGAAGCTTGGATGTCCTCCTAACATTTCAGCCAAACATTTAGCAGCTTCAGGCTTAATGAGCGGCGTGCTTGCACTCATCATATCACATTGGAATGCATGCTGCGTATGCGTGAGGGGCGGAGAGCTGCGGTTTACATGCATCTTCGTCCAAAGCCCCTCTCCACCCTCTGCACATTTCAAACCAGTTTAAGCAAACGCTAATGAAGAGCATTTGGCCTTTTCAGCCTATGGCAGGAGCTCACCCAGTGGAGAGAATTCAGCCTCTTTCTATTGAACCCATATTATTTAAACGGGACATATTAGGAAAATTCCACCTTCATAGGTCTTCTACACGTTAATGTGGCTGCCTGTACATAAACGTACACAACAATGATACCTACATTTTGTGTCTGGACCCCCCCCCTGTGTGCAGAAATCACTCAATAATTGTAAACGGACAGGGGTGCCGGTACCATACGATGGTTGAAGAAACTCTTTAATTTCAAATATGCTGTGTCCCGGCTAGAATTGGGAATAAGCTGTTTGTTTGTGCAAATGATTCCGAAACGTCCTGTTGAACCCTAAAAACTGACACTTGTTGTTTTTACATTTCATGGTGAATGGGGGGGATGCCATGCAAGGCTGGAACCACGGAGGAGTGTGGATGGTGGAGGATACAGGGGCGGGGGGGGGGGGGGGGCAGTGGTTCGCTGTCTCATCAGCATTAAGACCTCAAACGGCCCGTTTTGAGCAGAGCTGTTATATACAGGCTGAAAAGGGTGCTGCTAATAAGGATCCTTGTGGTGTTTTGACCAAATGATTGTAATAATTTTATTTCATTCGGACCACAAAGACCAATATCAACATGTGGTAAGAGGGCACAATATGGCTCTTTTAAACAGGATCTCCAGATAAGCCGTTGATCTGTGTAAAACTAGTGATAAGACGAAAGTCTGTATTGCAAAGGTCTTCATTCACATTAACAGGCCCGTGCAGTGCCGTCTGAATATGTATTTGCCATCTGGTCCATACTGTAAACATATGCCAGTTGACTAGAAACTGTAGGACCAGTGATCTTCTTTGTGGCTTCATCCGGATACGTCCCTCCAAAGGCTTAAATTCCGCTCGGATGCGAGCTGGATATTAGTTATTGGTAGAAAACAACAACAACAATGGAACATGCCGGCAGAGAGCAGCTTAGAGTTTGGCAGCTCAAGCATTGATGCTGAAATATCCTTTCATACGTTGACACTGGTTTGAAAATAGCTGTATTTGTCCGTGTTTTTTTTACCAGCTCCGGGGAAGTAGTAATAATGGTGCTGGGGGGGGGTTAGAGAAAAAGCCAGGGTATCGGAACCCAGAATGACCACTTTTGGCATTTTGACCTCTCCTGGTGGG